AAAACTAAATAATAGACAAAGAGTATGATAAGCATGAGTAAGAAGTGCTATACTGTATATAAGCAATTCTATGCATGTTAAATTTTTGAAACATATTTTATTGTGTAAGTTTTATTGTAAGGTAATTTCATAAATAATTTGTATATTGAGTTGTCCAAACCCAAAAAGATGTATATAGACACAAACAAGCACACATATATATACATGCACAAAAAAGAAACCAATATCAAATAATTTTTTTGATATTTATAGATGAGATTAAGAAAAAAAAAAAGAGATTAAGTATGAAAAAAGAAACCTGAAAAAAAAAATTTACCAGGGAAAAAAAAAAAGAAAAAAGATGTATGAAGCTAAAGGCGTGAATCCTGCAATCTCAAAGACGTGTTTAGATGCCAAAAAAAAATAGCGCCAGTCTGAAATCTGAAAGAGGCGCGAGATGTGTGGCTGAAATCTCTACAAAACGACGTCGTTTTTGGTTGTTCACAGACAAACAAAAGTCTCGCCGCTTCTCTCTTCCAACACTTAGACAAATTTCATTCTCAGTCTTTCCTTCCTATGGTGAACACCGAAAAACTCTAGACCTCAAACACCTTCTGCTTCCGCAAAATGCTCCTCTAAAGCACCATTGACGAGTGCCAATCTTCAGGTCAAGCTCGCCGAAGAAGCGAAGTCAGAACACTTCCAAGCTCCCTCCTCGTTCCGCGACTTTAGTTTAGACATTTCTCCGACCCCCTCTTCAGCTAATTGTGTGGTATGTGTTTTTTTTTTTTTTTTTTTGCTTTCAAAAGCTGCTCAGCCTTCTATTGTAAAGACTAATTTATGAACTAGATTGTTAATTAGCAGTGGGGAAGGTAATACTCTTGGCTAAATCGCATCCGAAACACTTGCGATCTGGAGTATTAACAGTGTTAGGGTTGGTCAGAACCGGCTTTCTTTGAGGAGCTATGAAATGCGAGCATTTTTTGACTGCATTAATTTGGTTGGATGAAAGAGAAATTAAACAATTTGTCGTGCCATTTAATTGCTTCCTTAAGGGGAAGAGAACTTGATTGATTTGCCTAATTTATTTGGCTGTTTTAAATGTACTTTATGCCATACCATGTAATTTACTCTCTGGTTCTCTCTCTCTCTCTCTCTCTCTGGTAATCAAGCATGCACTTTACTAGAATTTTGCATGTTTGGGAACTGGCCAGAAAACTGTTTTGGGGTTTCAATTGCTGTTAACATGTTGTTGTGCAATGTGTGTTTAGTCATACAATGGTTAATCTTTTGTAATAGTTAAGATTTTCATATCTGTATTCCCCTTTGTTCTTCATTTCCTTGCCATTTTCGAACCTACATTTTAATTTTCCCCTGTTTTTGTTAGCTCATTATCCAATGGCTTCTGTCCTGCCCCCGAAAGGCTTCATTTCCTTGCCATTATCCGAGGCAATTTGGGCTTCTGAAATGTTGCATTTTCAGTTTGTATCTTGAGAAATTTCTGTGTACGGATGAGGAAATCATGGATTTAGGCCGCCCGGGGGGGGTTGTAATTGATTTAGGCCAACATTTTTTAGTTGTTCTTTTTCTCCTGTTATTCGTTTGTGATTAGTGAATCTTCCAAAAGGGGGGGGATTTGACTTGGTCTCAAATGGCAGATGATAACTTGCAGCTACTAATTTTTATCATTGATGTTCCAATACACTGCCTTATTAAATGCTGCATTCACTCTTGGCATGGAATCAGTTTGAAAGCTAGTTTTCAGGGTACCTTGTGGAGTTAATTTGAATGACCTTGACTAAACATGCTGTTTTGTTCTTTAATTGCTTTTCAGTTCCTCATGCTGGGTTTGGCTTAGGTTTTGAAAGGTTAGTGCAATTTGCAACTACCTTTCCCACGAACGCCTGGATCTGCTGAATTTTAGTGTCGCCGACTTCAGAGATGCAGTAATTTTGATTCAGCCTTGGTAGTCGGTACCCATCAAGGCTTATCCTCCTGAGTTTGGCATTGTATTTTGATTAGAAGATTCAAGTTCAGATTCAAGTTCAGATTCGAACAGGTATGCGATACCTGTCATTCATAATTAGCTTTTTCCATTTGGAGAGGAGAGATATTGATAGATCAATCATTTGTTTAAATTTGATCATCACCTGTGTCTTTTATTACATGGATAAGTCAGATGCTGTAGTTGAATTTATTCCAGTGCCTTATCTTGGTGTTTCTTTGTTAGATTTGTTGTCTGCTTCACTCTGGTTACAATTCCTATTAGTGTTTTGACGTATTGTTTGGGAACCCAAAATGTTGCTAGAGCTATTAATAACTGGTACTCTGCTGTCTAAAATAACTGAGTTGATTGAATTGAATGAAGCACGTGCTGTCTTTTCCTTGCAGCTTTTAGGTCTGTTGAGTAATCTCTGATCATTCTGCATTGAAGAAGCTGACTCTTATTCATGAGGATTTTGGAGTCAATTGATTGATTAATCTTGAAAATTGACAATTGGATGAATATTGCTTATGCATGAGTTATTTTTGCTGTAATTTATAAAGTTTGATTTAATTGATCAAAATAAAGAGTCATCTGATTCCATGTTATGGCTACGTAGCCACAGCAGAGTCTGCAAGAGACAGGCTTGGCAAATGGGGTTATGCTATTAACTCCCACTGTTTACTACGTCTTGAAAATGAGAAACTATTAACCACCTTTTTTTCTTTGTCCTGTAAATAAGCAGTAGATTGTGACAACAATTTCAAACCCTCTATCTGTACCTAGCTTCAAAGGTTTATAAAACTTTTTGTTGCTTACTGTTTTTGACTTTTTTCTGCCAATACTGAAGAGAGATTTTGTTACTTTTGTCCACAAGAAAACAGTACAGAAGGAATTTCTTGGCATATTGAAATAAGATAGATGTCTTTTTTTACCCTTTTTTTCCATTCTAAAGTTTCTTGGAAGTTGACATGCTCCAACTTTATCATTTAACTTTTAGGACAATAGTACTTATACCAGTTGCAGAAGTCTAAGCAGAGTTCCACCCGCTGATGTTGAATGCTATAAGCAAATTAGTTAACACATGGGTCAACATGTCTGCATCAGTTAATTTTCAGATGTGACATATGTATCGCTTTCTAATGTATAAACTTTGTCAAATTTCTTTCATTCGATTAAACGAGTTGGATATTATGCTATCTACCAATGCTATCAAATTGGCTTTCTGTAGACAAAAGGAAAAGAGAGCATTTAAAATATTATTTAAATAATTACTATAACTCTTCTTACGATATGATATATATAAGATAAAAAAAAAAGTAATTAAAAATTTTGTTTGTGAAGCAAGCAAATAATTTTGTTGTAAAAATTCATGTAAATGATCTAACACCTTTTCTCATGGACTATGTAAAAACCACACACTACTTTTCTATTCTGTAGCAATTCTTTTGTCTAGAATGTTTACTGGTATAGGATACAAATCTGCAGCAGTTTTGGTATATCGAACGAAAAAGCAGCCGTGGTTCTGCCAAACAGTACGAGACATCTGAAAGAAAGCTTACTCCTTCAATACAAAATAAGGCAGCCTGCAAAGTGCAATGTTCTTGATAGTTTGATTCCATGAGCGTGATTGTAATGGAATCACATGTCTGAGTATAACAAATTCAACTAGAGCAGCTACTAATCATGTCCTGGCCACCCATTATATCAATTCAGATAGTGCAGTACAAATTCCTATATTGCTTCAGCAATACCAATCTGATTCATGAAAACCAGTGCATTCAATTTTAACCTTAAACTGCTGGAAGGAAGGTCTCGTTTTGGAGTACATTCACAAGCATCTTTTTTTTTCCTCATCTTTCTTATTTGTAGTTATTATCAACTGATCAAAAATATTTGACCATTGTAACTTAAATAGAGAGCTTCATATATGTTATCAGATACGCCTAGAGCTTAACTGCCGATACAAAGCTTCTGAATGTGAATGGAGATCATAAAATGATCAGCTCATGATTACAGAAATTTTTTACAATGTATGATAAAAGTTTTCTAGTTTATATATATAATACATTCAGCGGTGGTTATCTTTCATTTCATAGTCTTATAGATGGTCAAAAACCGAAAAGAACAAATTCTAATAAAAAAAATGGTCTATTTTATATATATGGTTAATACATCCAGTCTGTATTAGATTCTCTCATAAGTGTAACCAAATCCCCTCTCTAATGGGGCCTTTAATTCCCTAACCAAAGTCCCTGAAAATAGAAAATGACAAATAGAGAGAAACAGAAAGGAAGCAAAAAGAATAGGGATTATGCAGTTGTTGTAGTTCCAACTTGCACGAAGTGATTGCTAGTGCATTTGTTGGTATTAACCATCAGTTGGTATTAACATTTGTTGATTGCTAGTGCATTTGTTGAAGTCTCTCCTCTTTAATTTCTATTGATTTCATGGTTAATTTCATGGCTGCTTTACATATTGTTTTTTTGGATTTTAGGAAACTGCTTTCATGGTTAATTTCATGTTCATTTTGTGGCTGCTATACATATTACTTTTCTTGATATATGATACTGATTTCATGGCTTTTCATATGAATTTTCATATTACTTTTATGGCTGCTTTTCATATGACTTGTAGCCTTAATTTTTGAAAAGGCTAGTTAACAAATTATTCTCTTTAGTTTGATATTAGAAAAGTATTTTGTACTAAAGGCTGATGTGTCTATATCTAGGACATGGATAAAACTTGGATGAAGATTAGCAATAGGAAGGACAAGGCTTATGAACTCGGAGTCAAAAATTTCCTCAAGTTTGCATATTCTCAAAAAGTTGAAAATCAGAAAATCCCATGCCCATGTACACAATGCAATAATTTTTGTAACCAAACTAAAACAGTTGTGGAGGATCACTTATTGACTCAAGGCATTCGTAAAAGCTACACAAGATGGATACACCATGGGGAACAATTTCAACACCAAAATTGTGGGGATAGTACTAAACATGGGGATGGAGAGGAGGATAGTGATACTGAGGATTTAAATGACATGTTGCACGACATTGGGACAGCACAATGGGGGGACAATTGGGCTGGTAGGGAAGAATCAACGGATGATAGTCTAAATGCGAATCATAGTGACACAAATAACTTTCTTAAATTGTTAGAAGATGCAAAAAAGGAGCTGTATCCAGGGAATCATTTTTACTCAAAGCTATCCTTTGTAGTCACTTTGCTCCATTTGAAAACAATGAGCGGGTGGACCATAAAGTCCTTCAATGCATTGCTGGAAATTTTTAGCCATGCACTACCTCCTGAAGCCACAGTTCCCAAGTCTTTTGCTGATGCTAAGAAGCTCATTCGAGACTTAGGTTTTAAATCTGAAAAAATCCATGCTTGTGTCAATGATTGTGTTCTCTTCCGCAAGGAAAATGAAAATTTTGACACTTGTCCAAATCTAAATTGTAAAGAACCTCGCTACAAGATGGCAGGTTCAAGAGTTCCACGCAAAGTTTTGCGTTACTTTCCTTTGAAGCCTAGGCTGCAACGATTATATACCCACAAAGAAATAGCTTCAGATATGAGATGGCATAAAGAAAAGTGTGTGCATGATGATAACATCATGCGGCATCCAGCAGACAGTGAAGCATGGAAACACTTTGATAGGTTGCATCCGGACTTCGCCGTTGATCCTAGAAATGTGAGGTTAGGTCTTGCAACTGATGGTTTCAATCCTTTTGGGACCATGAGTAGTGCTTATAGCATCTGGCCTATTTATCTAGTGCCATACAATCTGCCCCCTTGGAAGTGTATGAGAGATCCTTTCTTTTTCCTATCAATGCTAATTCCTGGGCCTAAATCCCCGGGAAATGAGATTGATGTTTACATGGAGCCTCTAATAGATGAACTGAATGAAATGTGGCTTGGTGTTGAAACATATGATGCATATAGTGGCAAGAAATTTGACCTCCGGGCAGCTTTACTATGGACTATAAATGATTTTTCAGCTTATGCAATGCTGTCCGGATGGAGTACGAAAGGGTATCAAGCATGTCCTATTTGCATGGTTGAGACAACTTGCGTACATTTACCACACCGAAAAAAGTTGTGTTACACAGGTCATCGCCGCTTCTTACCCATTGACCATTCTTGGCGGCGAGAAAAAAACCTTTCGATGGCAATGTGGACTTTAGGAATCCTGTTGCACCTTTATCTGGAAATGAAATTTTGGATCAGGTACAAAATATGGAGGTAAATTTTGGGAAGACCAAGGCGCAATCCAATGCAAAGAAACGCAAGCGTTCTGAGAGTGGTTTGAACTGGACAAAGAAAAGTTGTTTCTTTGAGTTACCATATTGGGCAGACCTCCTTCTTAGGCATAATTTGGATTTAATGCATGTGTCAAAAATATCTCAGAGGCTGTCATTGCCACAATTATGGATATTGAAAACAAAACCAAAGACCACTGGTTGTGTCGTCAAGATTTGAAGGATTTGGGTTTGAAAAAAGAGCTACATTTGATTCCAAATGGCGACTCTTATATCATGCCACATGCCTGTTACAGCCTAACCAAGGAGGAGAAAAAAAAAGTATGTGAGTTCTTGAATTCTGTCAAATATCTAGATGGGTTTGCCTCAAACATTTGCCGATGTATAAAGAATGGCCAGTTTCAAATTTCTGGAATGAAAAGTCATGACTTCCACATTTTTATACAAAGGCTACTCCCACTTGCAATCCGTGGAAGTTTAACAAAAGAAGTTCGGCAAGTGCTATTCGAGTTAAGTGAATTCTTCAAAAAATTATGTGCTAGAACATTACATAGAGAGGTTCTGGAGGAGTTAGGCCAAAAAATTGCAGTCATCTTATGTAAATTAGAGAGGTTGTTCCCTCCAGCTTTCTTCGATATAATGATGCACTTGATGGTTCACTTGCCTGCTGAAGCTATCCTTGGCGGTCCAGCTCAATATCGTTGGATGTTCCCATTTGAGAGGTAGAGAGTTGAACATATAACCTTGTAAGTTTTTTTTTATTAAAGACCACTGCAATCTTCTAATTTCTTTTATTTTCCTTTGAGAAAGACATATGGCAGTGCTGAAAAGTTATGTTGGAAATAAGGCCCGGCCAGAGGGATGCATTGCTGAGCGGTACATAGATAAAGAATGCTTGACATTCTGCTCTATGTACCTAGACAATATTGATACGATATTCAACAAGCCTGAACGAAACAATGATAGGGGATATAATACTGGTCAATTGTCCATTTTTTCATGCCCTGGTCGTCCATTTGGAGGTCCCAAAAGGGGCAATTTCCTTGACTCGGAGCTGGAAAAAATTCATACATTTATATTGAACAATTGTGATGAGCTTGAGGACTATATAAAGTAAGCTTTTAATGTTAATTAAAGCTTGTACCTTTGTTCTATATTTTGATATGTTCAAAGGCAAATTTATATAAGGTGATTGTTTTTGTCTATAGTGCGCATAAAATGGAGTTGGAGGCAGAGAGTGCTGAAAATGTGGACCAAAGGCATGATAGAGAATTTGCAAAATGGGTTAAACAACGTGTATGTTTGTAGTGTCATTTGGACAGCCTACTTAATTTTTTATCTCTAATACAATAAATTACTGATTTAGGTGAAATTGTCCTTACTAGGTTATGTATGGCAGCGAGACTTCCAATGGTGAGCTTAGAGCATTAGCATTTGGGCTAGACAACCGAGTTTGTATGTATACGAGTTGCATGGTTAATGGGTATAGGTTTCACACGGAAAATCGGGAAAGGCAAAGAAAGACTCAAAACAGTGGTATTGTAGTTAGAGGTGAGCATGGTAACAAAATGATCGATTTTTATGGTGTGATACAACAAATTATTGAAGTAAGATACTGGCTCGGGAAAAAAAAGGTTATAGTATTCAAGTGTGACTGGTGGAAGACCGATGATAGTGCTGGGATGCAAGTGGACAAAGAATGGGGTATCACAAGTGTCAATTCGTCTAAAAAATGGTATGAAGACCAACCATATGTCCTCCCTCAACATGTCCAACAAGTCTTTTATCTTGAAGACTTGAAACTAGGCAAAAACTGGTATGTCGTCGAGAGGTTCAGTCCAAGGCACTTGTATGATGTTCCTGAAGATTTAGAAAAAGAACCAATGGTTGAGGAAATATATCAAGAAGAAGCAAATGGGGATTTCACTATTATAATAGACCTCGACAATCCACCATTACTTTCGAGAGAAGACAATGAGATACCGAAGGCTGTACCTTCATCCATTGTACATGCTGAGAAGTCAAAAAATTGCTCAAATGGCACCTTTGAAGACTTCATTAATGATGATGATGAAGTGAATGAACATGAGTCTAACAATGAGGAAGACGAAGAGGAGATTCTTAGTGATAATGACATCGATTCGGAATAGGTGAAATTGATGAGGACTACATGACACTAAATTTAATCTCTTTAACTCCGGCTAACTAGTTTTTATTCCTAAATTATACTATGCTGTAACACTAACTTCTTGTTACTTTTAGATGGCTGGACCAGGAAAGCGAGGCCAAATGCTGCAGAGAAAAGCTCGAGGTGCACAACAGCCTGCAATACCTAATTCAATTGGAAGCAATCAACCAAGAAGTGCATCCAAGAGTGTATCCTCAGAGGATGTAATATATGTCACTCCAGCTTCTTCACCTAGAGAAATTGCTAGTGAGAGTAGGATGATACACCCTCAGACATCTGAGTCTCGTGCATCCGGAGAAAATGAGACAAATCCAGTTTCGGATGAGGAAGAAAATGGTAAGTTAGACTTCATTTTCATGGCTGAAATTAAAAATCTTTTCATCTATTTCATGACTGACTTTGTTAATGTGGTCAAAGTAATGTATGGACTGATATTTGTTAATAGCTATGCTGCTGTCAGCAAGAAGAAGAGGACGTACACGAAATCTATCATTATCAAAAAAAAAGGGAGGCTAATGAGACGCTCACCATTGAAATTGATGATTGTATTCGGCAGATTGTTGGGAAGGATTCTCAATACTTCATCACAGAAGGGGGTTGTGTTGTTAGGAAGGCTGCTAGGCTTAATGTTCCAAAGTGGTCCCATCTCAATCCCGGTGACCGAGAAGGCATATACAGCACGGTTACGGTATTTGTTGTCCTGCTAATACTCTAATTTCATCTAGAAAGTAAGATTTGCCCCTTGGAAGAGAACTTTTGGTGATTAGATTAGATATTTCAGAGTTTTTACCGGTTAAATGTTTTGTTCAAGATGATTTAGTTTATAGGAGATGAGTCCGTAGTTGAAGATGATCATGTGTAGGTCTATTGGTCTTAGAATTTAGCTGCCCTGAAGATCTGAATCAAAGTAATCCTTTTTTAAAACTGAGAGCATTCCTGTTCTATTCAATGGATAAAGTTAAACAGTTCCTAAACCACAAAATAATTGGCATAATGTTAACTGCAGGATGCCATAGTTTTGCAACCTTTGGTCAGTTGGTAGGCAAAGAATAGTGCCACTTTAGAGACAATGTATATGAACTTGTGTGGATCTGTGATTAGCTTTTTGCAACCTTTGCTTTGTGTGGATCTGTGATTAGCTTTTTGCTACCTTTGAATGTTCATTGATATTACGTCTAACTCCCAAAGTTGTTTCTAGATGTGCGAACTATAATGGCCTGATTAGTTTTCTGTTGTCAACTGAACAAATTTTGATAATTTTGTACCTCAGAAGTATTGAAGCTAATCATTCTGTTGTAATGGAAAAGATTGCAAATGTAGTGCCTTTGTACTAGATAATAACTTAGTTCACCTGCAGTATATTAGGTTTTTTCATTTGTACCTGAATGTTTACCAAATTCTGTCAAAGCATCGATCAAAACCTCATGAAGCTAAATTGATGACTTCTTTTTTGTTAAGAGCACTGCTTTTTCAGTCATATTAAGTGAGTAGACTATGTGATATGTGACAAACTGGCTATAAGTGCAACTGCTCACATGAACAAAAAACCATGAGATTTGGGGTGCTTTAGTAGTTGGTTCTGGTCAATACCACCAAGATTTGCCCAGTTACAACTTTCATTTCTTCTATGAGCCTCATTTTTCACTTGATACTGGGCAAAAGGACTTGAAAAAAAAAGAAATAGGAAATTATCCATGTAGTGGATCTAAGCTTGAAAACAGTTGTAGCCTATTGAAGTTTGTAGCCAAAAGTTCTCTTCCAAGGGGCATGTAGAGATACATTGTTACTGCTTTAGATTTGCTTGGTTTTAAGTAGATTGCACTGTTATTGTAGGATGACTTTCGATTTTCAGAGCACATCACCTCAAAAACTGCTATTACTAGGCAGTTAAACACACAATATCGAAACCATCGATATCGGCTTCACAAGTATTTCCAGAGTTTTGAATCAAGGCAAGAAGCATTGAGGCAAGTTCCTGAAGGTGTGAGTGAAGAAGATTGGAAGTGGCTGGTCAGCTACTTTGAAAATGATGAATTTAAGGTTAGCTTGTCAAAATAACCTATCCTTTTATTAAATTTCAGATTTCACTTCACAAATTTGCTAATCTTTGTCAGTTAAAATTTTCACTAATTTGTGGCAGAAAATTAGTGAACGTAACAAGCAAAATCGTGCCAAAAATGACTGCTACACTACTGTTGGCACAAAATCGCTTGCAAGAGTTGTTGAGGAAAAGGTAATCTGAAACCCAGCCATATGACTGAAAAAGGCAAATATTTCAACTATCGGAATAGTTAAGCCAGTTTTGATGTTTTGCAAGTGAAGTTTGATGGAAGAAAATAGTATTATACATAATTTCCTTTAAATTTTTATTGACTCAACAGTGAGGTACTGCAAATATTCGGAAAAAGGAAAAAAAAGAGAGGAAAGGTAAAGCAATTGGTTAGTTAATATAGCAAGATTAATTTCATGCCTTGTGTTTATGAGCAAGTGCACACATGTGGCTTCTGAGTGTCTTTGTTGTCGCAGATACATTCTGTTAGGCTGTTAGATCATCAAGCTAAATTTGTTCTGAATGAAGCTGACCATGACTGGATTAGATTTAGATGCTACCAAGTACTTAGATTCTGTGTATGAAGCCTTGTAAAGTTTTGACTAATCTTTCCATCATATTCTGCTTTGTCTTGGAAATTGGATGACTCTAGCATTAGCTCTGGTTGTATACTAAAGCTATATACGTTGATTTGTAGCTCCCTCAATTTCATATGCCACGTCTGCTATCTGAGAAATTTGTAATCTGACAAATGCCACAGGCTTCAATTCAATCCGAGCTTTCCTATTGAATTGCACACATTTGCAGATTTAACTTCTTGTTACTTTTTGTCATATGACTGAAAATGAAAAATTTGAAAATTTGGACAGAAAAGGAAAGAAGATGTCGAGCTTTCAGAGATAGACATGTTTGAGTTAAGTCGAAAGTCAAAGAAGTCAGGGGGGCTGGTAAATGACAAAGCAAAAGAGACCTTGGTGAGCTGTTTCACTTGGATAATGGATTTTTAAATTATTGACATCCATTCCAGTTACATAATGATCATATTTTTTACTTGCCTAGGACAAAATGAGGGAATTGCAGGCTACAACTTCAATGACTAGCAAGGAAATATGCGAGCAAGAACTTGGTTACGTACCTGGACACATCCGCGGTCGTAGTGCAACCAAGAAGCAAGCTGCTGAGGTAGAACGCTGGAGGCATGAGATTAAGGACAGCCGAAAAAGAGCAGATGAAGCAGAAAAACGAGCTGCAGAAGTAACTCAACAATTCACTGCTCAGCAAGAGTTGATTAAGACCTTGCAACAGCAACAAACAGAAACAAGAAGCCTGTATGATGAGTTAGCTAACCAGCTGAAAGACTTGCGCAAATAAGCAACTTCTGTGTCAGGTATAAATAAATTGTTTGCTCTTCATAGTTATTACAATTGAGGCACTTGAATTCTGGTTCTACAAAATAGAGATTCATTTTTAATACAATTGGGTTGCTTGATGTCAATTTAGTTGCTTGATGGCACTTGAAATCTGGTTCCACCAAATCTGATTCCTGTTTAATGCAATTGAGTTGCTTGAGGCTGATTTAGGTGCTTGAAATCTTGTTCATGTTTAATTACAGCCATTGAGGTGCTGGATGTTGCAACCAAAACTTTAGTGTTTTTAAAGCAAATGTGTTTGAACGTTGGGATGTATTCCACTTTTTTCTTTGTCGAACTCATCTAAATTTTTCTGTATCAGAAAAAAAATTTTTTGTGCTAAGGAAAAAGAGGCACCTGTGATTGTGTGTGTGTGTGTTTTTTTTCTTGATACACTGTGTGGTTCACGATCATCTAGGCTCTCAATGATTTTCAAGCGGATAGACCAGCTATGATTGTAAACCTGTAAAGCAAGCAGGCTACTAGTCCTGTTGGAGTGTCTAACCTGGATAGTGAACATGTTCTTGTTAATAGAGATTAAGGAGTTTTGATGTGCACATAATATCCAATGTAAACTAGAAAGTTCTCTTAGAACTCTTGAACGTGGTTCAGTTGTACTCCACCACATTGGAGCTTTCTTGAAACAAAAAATATGGCGGATTGGGCTAAATGAATATATGCATTTGCTTAGTTGATCCTTTCTTTTGGTGGCGTTTTTGGTGTTTTGTGTGTTTTGGGGGGGGGCAATGTAGATTTACATAGTAAAGCAAAGCCTATACTAGATACAAGTAGATCAGCAAAAACACTTCTGGGACAGGTCCCATTCCAGAGCTAATTTCCAAGGTTACTGTGTTAGTGGAATCTTCCACCAAGCTACTACCACATGTTGTTTCTCATCCACAATTAATGGACCTCATAATACTGACAGCTGAAGTTGCCTGAGCTCTGAAGAAAATCTTTCAATAAATAATAAACTTTGCACCCCTAAATCAATTGTCATTCCATTTTTTAAGTGATCCACCCTAAAAAAAAAGTTGGTTTTTTAGCTTCCTGTTTCATCTGTGATCAAGAATAGTTAAAAGTTTGAGGTTCGGACATGCTCTTCATGAAAATGCAGAATAATAATCACAACAATGTTGTTTGATTTATACTTTGGGTAACTTTCGAGATTTTATAGTTGTACAAAGTTTAATAGTGCCTTTATCAAGCTACGCTTTTATTCTTGGTCCACAAGAAAGATTCAATACAGAAATATATTAGTTGTATACTTTCGTAGTACGCAATTAACTGTCAATGGTTTGTTCTTGCTTACTATTCAATATATATAATTTCACTTTATTTTTGTGTTAAGCAATTTACTTAGATTGCTATAATTTCAAATTAGAGTGACATTAGTTTTTATAATATGGTGCCTATCTAGAAGTGTAGTTCCAGTTTTAACACCAGTGCTCATTGCTTCAATTTTGGTAACGTGTAGGTTCTTACACGATTCCCAAGAAGAAGAAGCCAGTCATTGCTGTGAAGATGGTTTTTGAATTGAAGACTACAAGGCCTATCGTGCTCATGTTTTGTTCTAGATGGGAATCGTGCTCATATTTTTGTATAGAACTTTACTACTCTCTATTGTGGATGGGAAATCACTAGTATTGTAACTGAATGGCTTATTTTGGATGGTGCATGGTTTATGACTCATTTGAGGCAACATTTATATATATATGTATTTGGGTTGATCTTCTATTGGAAATGAATGTTGGTTTTCTTTTCGTATGTTGGCTTTTTTTTCTCCTTGCTACTCAATGAACGTTTTGTGATTGTTGGCAGCTATGTTGCGTAATTAACATTAGCTTATTGCTTTTTACAAAAAAATAAATGACAATAAAAAAGTTGTCACTGCCAACAAGTTTTACTAGTGACACTAGAAAGTCGTCACTTTTTATGGATGGAAAACAATGACAATAAATGTCGTCACTGAACGGAAGCATAATGTGACAACTCCAAGGGTTGACTATGACAAGAATTTAGCCAGTTTAGTGACAATAAAAGTCGTCACACAATGTACAACAATGAGTGACGACAAGAGTCATCACAAAAGCGAAATCGTTTGTGACGACTTTGAACAGTCGTCACATGGACCCCCTTTTGTGACATAGAACTAGTGACAGCTCTGTGACAGCAGTAAAAGTCATCACTGATTTTTTTTGTGACAACTTCTGAATTTTTAGTGACGACTTTCGCCTGTCACAGAAACGCAATTTTCTTGTAGTGGATAGAAGATGATTTTTGAAAATATTACGGTGAGACCTACCTTATCGGATCAAATGAAAGAGGCGCAAGCGAAAGATCCTATGGTATAGAAGTGGGTGGAAAAGGTACAAATGGGAGAGATACTAAATTTTAAAATGGGACCCAATGGGATTCTAAGATTCTGAGATTGGCTAGTAATACCAAAAGATGCGGAGTTAAAAAAGAAAATTTTAGAGAAAACTTATCGTTCTAAGTATACCATACACCCTGGGAGTAGTAAAATGTATCAAAAGTTACAAGAGTTGTATTGGTGGGACAATTTGAAGAGAGAAATTGCTCAGTTTGTCCAAATTTGTCTTACCTATCAGCAAGTAAAAGCCGAGCGCCAGAAACCATCCACACCGTTACAACCCTTAGAGATACTGGAATGGAAGTGGAAACACGTCAATAAGGATAGCTATGGTTCTTGCAAAATTATTACTAAAACTATTTTACCTAAAATAGGGTTTCTTGCCGAGCAAGTTTCCCATGCTTTTCACTAGAATTATTAAAACTCGTATTTTGGGACTTTTCCTATAGTTAAGTAGCCAAGAGCAATACTTAAGGAAAGAAAAGGAATTAATATAAGACTTAGGGTTTTCAAAAGCTATAGAATTTATTTACTATAGCTATCAAGGCTAGTTTGAGTTAAAAGAAAATTGTCGGGTTGGAAAGTTTAGGCAAAACACTAGATACTGAGTTTTATAATCTAATACTAGCTGAAAAATATTTTTGATTAGTTTGATCACAGTTACTCGAGTTCGCAAGGTCGAAATGACTTCCACAGTTTCGATTCCATTTCGAAATCATATTATGGATCAAATTTGGCGACATGGTAAAATCACATAGCAAATCACTAGGGTTTCTTCAATCATTAGCCCTAGATTTAAGCTTGACATGTCTAAAGCCTACGACCGTGTAGAGTGGAGCTTTTTGGAAGCAATGATGCATAAGATGGGATTTCACAGTACATGGATAAATTGGATAATGCAGTGCCTAAGTTCTGTTTCCTTCTCTTTTAATATTAATGGGGAGGTTAAAGGGTATGTCATCCCAAGAGAGGAATTAGACAAGGGGACCCTCTATCCCCTTATCTATTTCTAATTTGTTCAGAGCGCTTATCCAATCTGCTTAGGAAGGCTAAGGCTAATAGGATGTTGTCAGGGATGAATATAAGCAGAAGGGGACCTAGTATAACTCACCTTTTCTTCGCGGATGATTCCTTAATTTTTTGCAAAGCAAATCAGGATCAAGCAAAGGAGTTAATGAGAGTGCTGGATGTCTATGGCTTGGCGTCTGGTCAAGTGATTAACTTGGAAAAGTCCTCCGTTCTATTCAGCAAGAACGTGCAACCAGGTTTGATGCTCCTGATTTGCCGAACCATGGGGAATATGCAAAGAGTCTGTCAAGGCAAGTATCTCGGATTACCAATGGTAGTTTCGAGAACAAAACAACAGATTTTTGGTTTTGTTAAGTCGAACATACAACAGAGAGTGCTCCAGTGGAAGAACAAGTTTCTAAGTACGGCAGGCAAGGAAATATTACTTAAATCAGTGGCTCAAGCTATGCCTACTTATACTATGTCATGCTTCAAGGTGCCATCCAGATTGTGCAAGGAAATCAGCTCACTCATGTCAAACTTTTGGTGGGGAGACATCAATGGAAATAATAAAATTTGACGGGTATTTTACATACATGCAAGTTAAAAAACCGAATTACACCCGTTCACTGCAAGTATACAGATCAACTAGTAGTTTAGGGTATATATCGGGTCGATCCCACAGGGAAGAGTGAACAATTACCGGTACTACTAAAGCTTCTCTATTATTTAGACTATCAATGAATTATAACAAATTTTACCTACTGAAATTATACAAAATAACAAATAAAAAACTCCTTAGGTTGTGGTATCCCTAACTACTCATGCAAGTGCTATATTTGGATCATTGAATACTACATCTAGGCTAGTTATGGTGTAATTTCCTTAAACATGTGAAACCTACTTTCGTAGTGAATCAACTATACTCATAACTAATCCATACCTATTTTCATGGTTATGAAATTAGCTACAAGTTCATTTCTTCAATGAAATTACATGAAATGAATCACTAAAAACCACATAAGTGCACCTCTACTTTCGTGAGTGTACTCCCTATGTTTAGCACTTCTTGAACTAGTGTTAAATCTCAATTTTCATTGCAGAAATAACACCTTAGATAATCACAATCAATGGTACCGGATTAATCATGATTTCAAGAGCCAAAGTGCTAAATAACTTGCTTAAATCATAGCAGTCAAATAACCAAAGAATAAACACTCACAATCATAGAAAGTTCAACCAAACCCAAGGTATAAACTTTAAAGACACATATTAAACACAAAATCCAGAACTTGTATATTAGCTAAACTTGGAATCAAGTACAAAAGATAAAGAGTTTGAAAGGAATACAACCCTTGTCACATGAGCTTTCTTCCTTGCCTTCTTCATCCTCCATCTTCATCCTAATCTAGATAATAAACAAGAATGGAAAAGCTACACTACTCTATACTAAGCTAAACTAACACTAGGGAGATGAAAGAGCTACATTTCTGCAACTTCCAGCTTCTCCCGTATGTCTCTCTCTATTTTCTGCTATGAACTCCCCATCTCCTATTTTTGCAATGCATTTTGCTATTTAATGATGAAAGGTGGTCAAGAAATGAGGATTACATCTCCCTTTTACAGCTGGGAATGTTTCTCACATGTATAGCATCCAATGTGAGTTGGTGGAGGTGAAATTGAGTTTTACGCGTACAGAGCAGCCTTTTCTGAAATCCTGCTGATCCGAGCTGCTACAGTACCTCGGATCCGTATGGATCCGAGCTCGGATCCACTAACCCAGAAACAGCCGAGGGTTCGGATGAATAGTGGATCCGAGTGTGGATTACTTGCTCTGTTTTTGGCCCAACTTCAACCGATCTTT